ACGGCCAAATGTACTGCAAATACCAATACTTCAGGCTGCCACAAACAAACAAAAAAACATGAAAAATCCCGACCGGCAACTGGAAGAGGAAAAACGCGTAAATAACAGACTCAGTAAAGAGGAAATGCTGTAAATAGCAGTGGTCAAATACATAAAGTATGCCTCCTAGTAGTAGTAGTAGTAGTAGTAGTAGTGGTAGTAGTGGTAGTAGTAGTAGGAGGAGGATCCATACCATTGTCATTCGGAGATGGGTTTGTATGCCTAACGCAGCCCCCTCGCCAACTCCTCAAAGAGGGGTACACTGCCTCGAACTCTGTGCTGCAAATGCTGACTACCAGATGCATCATAAGAACAAGGATGAACATATTTGCCCCCCACCCTCCATCCCCCAACCAAGAAGGTGACATACCTTCCACCTCAGCGGTCATCTTGAAGAAAAAACGCTGATGATGTTGATGCTGGCCACTTTGGGGCATCTGTGCCAGATTTATTGACCTGGTGGAAAGGCAAGGACAAAGAATCTGAGCCTCTTCCCCCCAATGCAGAACCATTCAGTTTCGCCAACGCATACACAAACCCCTCGGCATTTCCCATTATGCAAGCCTGGGGTGCAAGAAGGCCATGGTTCAGGAACGGACGGTGTAGGCTCAACTGATTGCATGTCTCTTCGAATGTGTTGCAGCTGTGATGGCCCAACTTTCTATACTTCCTATGGGAAGTGCTTTTCAAAATGGAGTTTCCAGCTGCTCCCCTTCAGAATCAGGTTCAGTGTAGCCACTGCAGCCCTGCTCCGTCGAAACCCCTCAATGGAAAGCCAACCGCCCCTTGCAAACGTGTGCATCAGCAAGATTGTGCGGTGCATGCAAGGGTTCTAGCATCTCTCAGATGTTGATGCTGAGTTCTAGGCGGCTGGGCCCCTCAATAATCTTCACAGGTTCTATGACTTTCCTGCAGCAAACTCAGAGAAGTTTGTGTTGTCTGAAATGTGTTCTGACAAGCCGACAATCGGAACCATCGGTCCTATAATTCGGACGCCCAGGATTGTCTCTTGGAGCCGGTGGTTGATGCTCTGCAGGTCGTGGCCACTACAATTACAATCGCTGAAAGCAGCAAAGATGAATTGCAGTGTCGCATGGCCACCCCTACCCCAAGCCCGAACCAATGCAAAGCCCTTGTCCACCATCGACTTCAGCCCTTGCTCAACATCTTCTGTTTTGATGTCTCCTGACTTGGTCAGTTCTGCTTATTTCATCGCTTGTTGGCGTGTTGACGGTGCCGAGAGCATGACGAAATTCCTTCCCACTTTCTCATTCATTTATTGACGCTGCTTGCCCACTCAGTATATAGTAGTGGATACACTATCAGATTTTCATGTTGCTTCATCCTAGATATTCCCAATTGATCTTGCTTGTTGTTGGGATGTGCTGGATACGTAGTAGGGCTTTGATGCTCAAATTTGTCAAGCAACTGTAGTTCGCAGCAAACACACGCCAGCATTTGACATCTCGAGGTCTCTTGAATGCAAAGGAGGGCTGCATGGCTCTGGACTCACTAGGTTCCGAAACTGCACAAACTCAGAAACGTGTTGCCAAAGCTCCAAGAATGCGCTGGGCGGCCAGAACAAACGGGAAGAGAGGCAAAAGAGTGGGCTGCAGGAATGGGATCTCCCGGCATTTTGGCCAGGAGGCCCGGGCCCGACGCAGTCGCCGGACTTGTAGTCTTGTATCGCAGAATCTCGCAAAGATTACAACACTGCCAACTTCATGCTGGAAAATTAGGACGACACCTGGGATATTGACTTTCAACAGGAGTTTTCCGCCTTGAGCTGACGTGAGCAGTCGTTTGCGCTGTGCTCGTATTTTGGCAGGCCCTTCAGGATCAAACTGGGAATGTGACTAGGAGCCACATTGAAGGGGTGTGAGGCTTGTCAAGACCAGTGCAAGTCTATTTGGTACTGCTGCGGTCTTTGCAGGATCCAGGCATTGCTGCGTACTGCCATCCTGAGAGATGCTTGGATTAACCGCGAGTTCTACACAGCATGCTGGAGCCGAGTGTTTCTACTACTATTTGCATGCCATAAGGAGATGAACGATACAAGGCTGGTGCAGGTTCTCGATGCATCAGATGCTCCGCAATGTTGAGAACTGCTTTTTCTGCTTGCATGATGGTTTCGCTATCTCCCTGGTTGCCATCTGAGGACCGTATCTCAGGCACAGTGACTGTGACGACTACAATGACTACAACAACCGAGACAAGGGAGGTGCCAAAAGTCATTGTCGTTGTCCCCGACGGCAATTTTACATCGACCGAGAGTTCCACAACGGTAACAACCACAAAATCCCAGACATCCAAGCCTGCGCAATCGACTACGCAGGAGGCAACCGAGACCACTACAACGACGCAGACTGACAATGCTGCTTCAGGAAATGCTGGCAATGCCAAACTGGGGCTCTACCCGAGCGATTGGGCAGTGATAGACGCTTGCGTGCAATAATCCTCCTCCACAGTTTCGGTCCTCCAATTCCTTTTCAAGCAGCTGTTTGAAGCAATTCATTCTTGAGTCTTAACAGCCTCGAGCTCTACCAAGGGATCGCTCATATTGCTGGGCGTGCTTGTGGCCCTCATCACCATCTACAGCCGTGGCTCGGTGTGAGGTGTAGTAAGCCGACTTGATCAGGACATGTTGGTGAGGGTTGTCCGAGTGTGACAGTCTAAGGCACTGTGGGAGGTTGAGCTCCTGCAGCTTTACCTGTGTTGAGCCAGGGGTTCAGGGCGTAGTGCCCGTGACCCTCGGCTTCCTGCATATCTCATATTATTGTCAGCTGACTAGGAGCACATGCTTGAAAAAATGGAGATGCATTGCTTGCTAGTGTTCACGCGGATCATGTCATGAAGGGAAGGCAGATATCGGAACCAAGCCAGCCAGGCATTTGCAATGCTTTGGCCTTGGTGCATACCTGGAAGCGAACATGAAGATGAGGGCACTGAATAACAGGCTCGGCATGCCCTTTTCCATTGGTGTCGAGCAGGATCCTGACGATGCGCAGGTGGACCTGCCCTGTCTGCAGCAACATCCTGAAGCCACATGACCTCGTAGTTGGGAGCTTAAAGCGTGTGCGGTTTATGTTCTTGATGTCTCCTTGTTTAAGCTTGCTGCCTTCACTCTGACAAGAATCTCCAGATCATGCGAAGAAGTGATGCCATCTCCAGTTGTCAATTCTCAGCTTGTTGGTCTGTAACAGTGTAGTGACAGCTGAGTAGTCAGCAAGCAGACCTGTTCTCAACACTTCGGCATAAAGTACGGCTGCCACTGAAGCCATGGGAGCAAGTGTCAGTGCAAGTCTGCCGGGCCAGGACCTGGTCTTGCGTCTTGCGTTGCCTTTGCGAGGCTTTCTTTGTATGCAAGCAGAGTGTCAGGATGATGGCGCCTGCCATGAAGTCAGCGTTGCGGCCACAGCGCCTTGTTAAAGGAGTAGAAGAAGCAAGTTGCATGGCGCTGTTGATAAGAAAGATACGCAATGGAGTTTTGGTTGACGGTTTTTGAAGCGATTCCTGTCGAGGAAATTATCCGCGTAGCAGGCATGTCTGGTTATCACACATCAGTCATTGTGGACAACATGGAGTACTTCTTCGATGCGATAGGGATCTTACAAGCTCCGCCACTGTTCAGCCATACCATGAACGAAGCCAAAAATCCAGATGGCAGCAAGACGGTGGTCACCTTTGTTGGGTACAGCCACTTCGATGGAAGGGCCATGGTGGAGACACTCAATGCATTCTTCGAACGAGGCCCGGACCAAAGAGAAGTAACATTGCTGTGCACAGCTGCAATGCCTGTGAGGTACCTACGACGTTTTTTACAAAAACTGCAGCTGGGCAGGCTTACGCTTGGATGTTGCCTTATTGAGTCTGGAGCCAGACACTTGCAGTACCTTTGCTGCTGCTCAGGTAACACATTCTCAGACGCCGCCCTGTACATGCTGACCAAGACCCGAATTCCGGGGACTTACAATCGAATAGAACGATTGGTCACGGCAACAAATCCCGTGTCCATCAGTTTGCTTAATAGACGCTTGGCAATGGGTATGTTTTGACTGCAGATTAGTGAGTGTTTGCGGCCACGTTGTGCCGACACCTGAGGGGTCTTCAAAGCTCTGGTTGAGTCGTCTGGCGTTACCGTCCAGGGCGACATCTACACACCAAACCCGGCGTCAGCAGACTTTTCCGTGGACAGGGTTATTGCTTCGCTGGAAGGCCGTGGGCGCACAACGCGTGCTTGCAGCAGATTTGGAGGCTTGCTGCCTGTGGTTGCTACAGGAGAAGAAGAGTCTGAAGAGTCGGAGCATTCGGACTCTGACGAGGATGTGTCTAGGAGGCTATAGAGTCAAAACCTAACTCATCTGACATCCTTGTGTTGCAGGAGTCGGACTAGCTCTCGAGCAAGACCCTGCTAACGTCCGTGACGTGCATGAAAAAGTTGTGTCTCTGTGTGAGCATTTGAATTAGATGGGTTTGTACAATAAGAGAGTTAGCTTGTTGCTGATGGCTTCTTGAGTCATCGCAATTTGGAAGATCATAACTCGCACAGAGAAGCATCTTGCCAACAGGCTCGCGTGAATATGTGATTCCAGTATGCTGAAAGAGCAGGACTGGCGTAGGCTTTGCTTGGGTTGCTGAGGATGTGTAAGTAGTCGAAGTTCCGTATCTCCTCTCACCATGAGCAAGGTCACTGTCTGCCGTGCCCAGCAGCCAAAGCGCAAAACCTGCAGTTGTGGATCGGAGGTAACGCCCTTCGAGCGGCAGTGCGGTAGCAAGTTCTGAAAGTAAGGGTCTGTTGCCAAATTTAGCAGCAGCAGATAACTGTGAGCTGATGAGATCCCCTGAACTGTCCGCAGTCAAAAAGGCCTGTGTTGTTTCATGTTGCACCGCTCGTCCCGGCAAGCAAGTTCCACATTTGCTGAGGTAGACAAATACGTGCAGCGGGTTTTGTCTGAGACTCCAGCGCACGTGGAAGAGGTCATCATCGAGAAGGCAAAGCAAGTTTTTGAGGAAAAGCCAAGCTTGAATGTTCAACTGGCACTGGGATGCAGGATGGCACGTACAGGATAGTTGAGGATGAGGTGCCAGCATGCCATGCTGATTTCACTACTTGCTCATTCTTGTTTGGTTGTTATAGGGCGGCACCCCCACCACCAATTAGAGGAAGAAGGGGTTCGATGCCTATCCTCCTGGCGGTGGCGGTGGCGGTGGCGGTGGTGTTGACGGCGGCAGCGGTGGTGGAGGCGGTGGCAAGGGCGGCGGTGGCAAGGGCGGTGGCAAGGGCGTTGGTGGTCGTGGGCGTGGTTTGATCGTCGTGGCGGCGGTGGTGGTCATCGTCATGGCTGTTGTAGCTATTGTCAGCGGCAGAGGCAGAGGAGGAAGAGCAGGATGCGGAGTAGGTAGGAGGGCAAAGTTTAGGCGGCTTATCTTCCTCACGGGCAAGGCCAGCATTTCCTCGAATTAGTCGTAGTTTGACTCGTCGCGGCACTAGTCATGGAGGCCCTGGGAATCTGGGGGCAAATTTCCAAGGTCGTCCATGGTTTGCGCACCCCTCTAGTACGCGGTCACAGTATTGTTGCATTTCGGACATATTGGAAAACCATTGTTTCGGGGGACGAATTTCGATCATCACCCTCATTCTGCACAGCGCTCTGGCCCGCGGTTGGAACCGGATTGACTGGCGGAACCCTGAGAATTAGTCACGACATGACGTTCCACCTCAGTTTTTGCTGCTCAATGCAAGGTGTAGTGGACCTGGGGCTTTCGGTTCTTACCAGAGTTCAGGGTTTAAGCTGCCCCCTTTACTGTGGCAATAACAACATTCCTGCCTTCCTTGCAGGGCTGTCATCAGGTATCCTCCTGGGATCTCTCCTGACTTTGTGGATTGTGCTGCAGGTCTGGACTTCTGCAAATCCTACGTACCGCCCAGGCCCACCTGTGGATTTTGACGCGGGGCCAAGGCCACGCGGTGCTGCATCTTGCCTGGCAGGGTATTTGCATGATTGAGGGGGAGGGTGAGATTACCTTTAGGATAGGTTCCTTAGTAATAACGCTCAAGGGCCCCATTGAGGAGTGTGCCCGAGCGCAACCGCTCATTGCTGCCAGCCTGCGTTCCAATTCTCCTCCGCCTGCCTCTCGGTCCTCTTCTGGATACGTTGTGATTGATCCTCCTGAGCCTGACGCCGGTGAGACGGCCGGCAGCGCATCAGCTAGGCGTAGCAGCGCTCCTCCAGAGACAAGGAGCGACGTCGCGGCATCCTTCCTTCCTTTGCCAGTTAGGTGGTCTAGGCAGGCTAATCAGCTGCATAGCACTGCTTGCACAGGTGAGGCTAGGCTTCAGAGGGCTTGGCTTGCAGGACAGTGGGCAGGCGCCCTTCTCAACGGACGTGTTGCGACTCCCGCCCATACTCCCGTACTTAAGCTCCAGCCAAAGTACTACATCATCCTGCGTGCACCGAGCATCACTGGGCCAGTCTTGGTCAGCTCGTCTTCTGCATACTTCAGCATCGTCGGCAGGCCTTTCAATCAGCAATCGCTGTCGCATAGCTTTGCCTCCTTGCTTGAGATCAGGGTCTACTGTGACGCCGCAGATGTTGCTGTCCCAGAGCAACAATGATGCTCTCAGAGGTACCCCTTTCGAGCCAGCTGTGCTTTGCTTAGGTTGGTCCGAGGAGGAGGGAGGCCCTCCTGCAGTGGAGGCTTTGGCCCTGTGCCTCTTGAAGCGACAAGGAGGACTCTTGTTGGCAGTGCCCTCCCACTTCTTCGACGAGGAGCTTCTAAACGCAGCGCAAACTGCGCCGCTACAGAAGTACTTGGCCGCTCAGAGTTTTTCGAGTGTGCAGCCGCCATAGTTGTAGAGGGAGGCCTGGTGGAACACGGGGCAAGACTTTCGGTGCTTGTTATAGACTGCAGCGAAGCTATCTGTTCCGGCCTCAGCTTGGCCGACCTGTCCCTGCCTTTGACACCCGAGCCTTTTCAGCCCGACGACCCTTCACTTGTGCCTTACATTCCCAGCTTGCTACCTCAAGTGGGCCAGTGGCTCAGAGGAGTAGACAGGGGAGAGTTTTTCTCCCTCGACGGTGGAGGGCGCTGGGGCCAGGGCAAAGGCCACGGCAAAGCAAAAGGTTAAAGGCAAGGGCGCAGACTCCTGCTCAGCGCAAGATGTCCGCAGCCATGTTGGCGGAAAAGTTGGAAGCTGCTCTAGCCGTCTTGCCTGCGCTGAACACCCCCGCCAGAACCGCCTCGCAGCGCAGGCCGCAGCAGCAGCCGTTGGGCCTCCGCCCAAGACCAGGTCTTCTTTGCTGTCTGCCTGCGAGTAGTGGAAAGCCCCAGAACTGGTGGAGGCGGAGGACCATCTTGGGGAGGAAGGCCGGGGTCCTGATGCAAGTCATACTGACTCAGTCTGCTGCAATGAGCATCGGGCGACCCTCTCCTCGACCTGCCGCTCTCAGGAGCTTCCGGAGGTTCGCGTGGGGGGCTAAGAAGGGCGCCTTCTTCCAAGAGGTGATGCAGGCGGCGGGCAGGAGGCTAGACCCGACAGAGTCATGCGACATGGACAACCGCAGCTTGATGGCAGTGGGTGGCCGGGCAAGGGCTTTTGCCCCCCTCGCCGATCAGAGGTGTCACGACTTTGGCTTGATTTCAGGAATTCGATCTAATCTCGCGCGAGGGCGGACGCCGTCGCAGACCCTCCTCCCCCAGCAGGACACAGAGCGGAGAGGAGGAGGAGGCGGAAGAAGCCAAAAGCCAAAGCACCCTGAGCAAAGGGGTTCTTAGGGGTTCTAGGCCTGGACCTGAGCCCGCGCAGCAGGGGTTAGGTTGTGGGCATGCTCAGGATGTGCCTCCGCCTGCTCCACCCCGTGTGTCTGTCTGTGAGACTGGTCCGGGCCCTAGTCCTTTCGTAGGCCCAAAGAGACGAAACGGCATTCTGCCACGCAGGTATGGATACGTGGCAGAACGTTGTTTGCAGCCACTCCCGTGTTCCCTCGCAGCTGTCACCAGCGGCTCTCCGAGCCTCCTGCACTTTGAGCAGCCCGTTCCTGAAGTTGAAAGTTTGACCTTTGACGCGGACATGTCTTTTGTTTCCTTTCTTGCCAGCTTGCCTCGCCGTATACTGGCCTGTAAGACTAAGTTTTCGCGTTTCCTATCTGCCACTTTTCACCTGCAAAGGAGCGGCGTGTCCGCATCCTCTTCCGCGCTTTTTCCGCTCCCCTTGCCTTACCTGGGCGTCTTCGATGGGAGTGGCCCGAAACTGGCAAGAAAGCGGTGCAAGCGCCTCACGCTCAAACGAGGGGTACATGTCATCGCAATGTGTTTGAATTATGTCTTCAGTGGAGGGAAATGGATTCCCTTTGCCGAGCTTCGGAGGCCGCCTTCTCCAAGCCAGCGTGCGACGTACGATCGCGTCAGGCGGCTCCTCAGCGCGTGTGGCTCCTTGCTTTTGGAAAAGCTCCCTGCGCCGATGAGGGGAGACCAGAGCTCCGGCCACACAGCAATTTGAATGCATCACGTTTGAAGATTTCGGGTTCCGGTAAATTCTGGCCAACCCCCGCCCTGCAGCCAAGCCTCATTCTGCCTTTCCTTGAGCCCAAGGTCCTTCAGTTTCGGGCCAGCGAGCCTGAAGAGCCTCACCCTGTTAAGTGCACAGACTCCCCGACTGAGCTCAAAGCTCTTTTCAGGAAGTGGGATAAGCAAGGTTTGCTCGCCTTCACTGAGGAATCACATGAGGATTGGCAGAAGGTGAGGGTGTTCAACGCCCGAAAAAACGAGGCGATGGACCGCCAGATAGGCAACAGAAGGTCACTTAACTTAATCGAGCGCCGGCTGCCCGGACCCTCATCTGAGCTGCCATGTGGCCCTTTGTTATGTGGCATTTTGTTGCAGCCTAAAGCACTCCTGTGCGGGGCAATCACCCACCGTCGGGACTTCTACCGCCAATGGTGACTGAAGAGAAAGCGGCGGGTAACCCTGTTGGCCCTCGTCTGCCTCTTGACGTGGTTCGCGCTTGCGAGGCCGGGAGGCGCTTTCTAGAGCGCAAAGGCATCACAGGTAGAGAAAAGAAAGGTGGTGACCTTTTTCGTGTTGCGGGGGGTACCGCATTAAACAGCTCCCCTGCGAAGGGCAAGCGCCCTCCCTCCAGCCCTGCTTTTTCAGGGCGACCACGGTGGGGTCGAGTTTGCCACTAGCGCTCACGAGGGGCGACTTCGGGATGGAGGACTCTCACGAGACCAAGTCCGTCTCAAAACGCGTAGCCCCTGCCCCTCGGGGCCAGAGTGCCAAGGACTGGTGATCGACGACTTTTTCATCGTGACCCAAGAGCCAATATCCAACCTTGACTGTATAGGGTCGCGAGGTGCTCTCGCGCCACCGCTGTGCAGAGAGAGACTCAGCCAAGCGCTTGATCTATATTGGAAGGTTGGTGTTGAAGGTTCCCCTGAAAAAGACGTTGCCAACGCACTGGTTTTCACAGTCGCTGGCGTTCAGGTCAACTCCTCTCATGAAGCTCTGAGGCGTAAGCAGGTCACGGTGGCTGTGCCCGCCGAGAAGCGCCTTGCCCTTGCACATCGCTACGCTACCCCGCCAGAACCGCCTCGCAGCGCAGGCCGCAGCAGCAGCCGTTGGGCCTCCGCCCAAGACCAGGTCTTCTTTGCTGTATGCCTGCGAGTAGTGGAAAGCCCCCAGAACTGGTGGAGGCGGAGGACCGTCTTGGGGTCCCATGATGCAAGCCATACTGACTCAGTCTGCTGCAATCACCAGCCTAGTAGGGCACTTAGTCCAGGGAGCATCGGGCGACCCTCTCCTCGACCTGCCGCTCTCAGGAGCTTCCGGAGGTTCGTGTGGCGCACTAAGAAGGGCGCCTTCTTCCAAGAGGTGATGCAGGCGGCGGCCAGGAGGCTAGACCCGACAGAGTCATGCGACGTGGAACTCAGAAAACTCGGAACTCAGACAGTGGCTCCATGGACATAGGCTATCTGCTTACTCTGCAGAAAAGCCGCCATCGGGCGTCATGAGCAACCGCAGCTTGATGGCAGTGGGTGGCCGGGCAAGGGCTTTTGCCCCCCTCGCCGATCAGAGGTGGTCA